GGAGGTACACAGATATTTTAGAGGGATGGACAAAAAAAGCCCTTTGTCATAACCTTTTTTATGCTAAACTTGGCTTTTTTTGTTGTGAATCCAGACTTAGCTTGTAAAGTAAGAAACCATCCCAGCTGCATATTTCATTCAGAACCTGAAGTGTTCCCAGACTACATTTGGTATTTACAAGTTGCAATGCACACTCTTCTAGGACAACATAAAGGAATTTCACTCTCCACCTCGCAGGGATATTAACTGGACAATCGGAAGAAAAGCTATTTACCCAGACATCAACATTTTGTCCACAGGATTTGCAGGCGCTTCTGCCTGTTGTTTTTCAGTACATCCACGACTATTACCAACCCTTTTCTGAACGTTGCAAACAGGATCCTAAGGATTATCAAACAGCAAACTATTATGATAGCAAGATACAGATGTCCATAATTAAAACTTGTTTTAAAAAGAAACCTGCTATTAAATATATCAACACATACTTCAGTGCATGATACAGCAAAGCCTTACATGTCGTTACATCCACGAACCTTATGTCTCTATTTCCTCTTTTAAGACCTTTTTATAGTGACTACTTATTCTGAAACATTTCTACTTATCCTGTCATACTTTAGGCCATCTTTTCAGATGCTCTGAACATCAGCAGCTCCTGTTTGACTGAGGCGGGAAGCGTGGGTATTTAACAGTTATGGGAGAGAAATCTTGGGCAACAAACTCCAGTAATTCTTCCCTTTCCCTATAACCTCATTGCAAGACAAGGTGTTAAGATTTTCGATGACTTGTAAAGAAAAACTCCAATATGAGCACTCCCAGTCCTCTCTTGTGGGTAACTAAGCAGATGGAACTGAAAGAAAGAGTTTATTTCCTTAATAGAAACGACCTCCCCAGAACTCAGTAGGGAGAATTTTAAAATGATGGAAGTGGGGAAACTAGTACACGTGCCTGCAAGAAGGCTCATTTCCTTAAAACAGAAAAATTGTATTTGTGCTTATATAAGAAGGGAATGGCTGTAAGGGAAACCAACCCAAATGGTTCTATTTTAATTTGCCTGTCATTTCAGCCACCAATGACACAGCCTCAAATGCATGGTCAGTAGGTATCATCAATACAGAATTCTCTGTCAAAATGCATTTGATTTTAACAGGTAAGGCTACATGATGAACTAAGGGATCTCTTACAAAATCTTGTACTTTTCCTTTAAGACAAATTGCTACTTTTACATTCAAGATCAAAGGGAAATAATACAAGGAGACAAAGACAGAAGAGAGACCGAGTATTTGAAGCTTCAATTTTCTAACGATCACTGGATTCACCCCTATAGAGACAGAAGATTAAAAAAGGGAGGTTATATGTGGCCGGAAAGGAACTCCGGGCAACTTTACTGATGTGTTTAAAGCTACTGTACTTCACGATTCTTATTTCAGAAGCACATTGATAAACAAAAAACAAAGCCCTTTTAATCTTCAAAGCTATGTATGATCAATAATAACTTCATAGCACTTGATATTCAAGTATCATAATCTGTCTTTTATTCCGGGAGAGAAAGATGTGCAGAGAATAAGAAACCTACTTGGGTCTAACCCTGAACCAGCAATGGAACCTGAACGTCACAAGCTTGTATGTTAAACAACAAAACCACGCTTTCAGTTTGGGAGTGCTCTTTTGCTACCAGTTTTCATTTGAACACAAGATTAATAAATAGATTACGGACTTTCTTCCAGCCCCTGCAGAAACATTTCAGATACTAGCAGAGGTGCATCCCAGGATTATGTGGCAAAATATTTTGCACAGCGCACCAATTAATTTACTATGCCTCTGAAATTACTGCTTCCAAGCAGTTTACTTAATTATTTGCTAGGGTCAACATACGAACAGCTTCCTACCAGCAACAGCTTCCTTGTTAAATTGCGTTTAGAGTCAGGGCGCTCTGCGGGACATACCCAGCCTCTGGGTTAGAGCTTTCTGACCCTTCACAACTGAATCTTGCAGTAATCTGGCACACTGAATCTTGCAATAATATTGATCAGTAATTTCAATCTCATCTTTGTCCATCTACATCACGAGAGATCTACTCAAAAGCAGAAAGGAGCACAAAGTCAACAAGATATTCAGTCAAGGATCAATTTAATAGGAATTTTACAACTGCCTGCAGTACAGAAACTTTGAAAAAATCCTGAAGCATCTGCAAATCAAGAAAAAAAAAAAGTTTCTCCTGGAAACCTACACCTCTCAAACTACAGGGAAAAAGATTTCCATATCATTATACTGTAAACTTACTGAAATCTGTGGGAGTGCTGAGAGATTTAATTTACATACCAATGCTGCAAGCAGGCTGGGAGGTGTGGGGGAAGAAGAGTTACTTAGCACCAGTAATGAGCAGAAAGCAGAAGAAGGCAGCTACAGTCCCCATGGACTGTTTTGTTTTCAATAATTTTAGACTGTCTAATAACGCCTTTTAATAAGCCACTCTCAGCTATAAAGCTGCCATCAGCCTGTGTCAGAGAATATAATAGTGCCCCAGATAGGAAAATAGTTCTGATATAATGGGAAAAAAACCTCATCTAAATAAAAGCTGCTTAAAAAAACCTCCCAAACAACAAAAACATTAAAAAAACCAAACAACAAAGTTCCATCAGTGAAAGACATAAATTATGCTGTCTATACAGTGTATCCATTAATTTCTAAAACACTAGATTTCAAAAGGATATCTACTAAAACAAAACACATTCTAAACCACAGAGTTTCTGGTTTACCCTGCTCCAGTCCTAGTTTACCATTAGACCAACTTGCTTATTTATAGTCTATTTATGCTCTGTAAGTGCAATCTAAATTATGACTGATGGTCATAATGCTTAATTTTCTGTTTATAGCCTATGCTGCCCACTTAGTCTCTACGTGACCACTGTGTGACACTGAGATCAGCGCTGCAATAACCTATCCACATGTAAGGCTATTTCCACTCCACTTGCTCAACTTAATAGCAGTTCTCACCAAATCTCAAGTCGAGCCATCAAAGCCTAAGATAGATATAGGAAAGGTAAAACACAGATGTTCTACTCCATTAAACACAGGTTTCCTCAAAACGGGGTCACCTTCGCTGCTGACAGATGCAGGTCCTGTTCCACTGTGGCCAAAATCAGCCACACCACTATAAACCTGAACTGAATCTGCTCAACATTTGTGTTTAAAAGTTGGTTTATAAACCATTACAAATCCTAAAATACTTCAGTATCATTCTCTTAGTATATGTATTGCTTAATTTTTATAATTCAAAAGCACTAACAAGATGAAAACAAGATCACTTTCTTCCTAGGAATTCTTCTGGTCGTTCCAGTATTATCACCATCCTTCTCTCTCCAGCAGGAGACTCACTGTGACGGCAGTTATCTCATTTTACAGATCAGTTCATACACACCCCTAAAACTTAAATAAGACACATTGCCAAAAAAATATCCAAACACTAAAACCAGCACAAAATCCATCTGTCCTTAAGATACACCTTACCACCTTAGCAATATAGGTAGAGATCTCTGTTTAACTTCTTTTTAATGCTGGAAAATTAGTATAAACCACTGCGGCATTTGGTTGTTTTACTCTCATTCAAGAAAAAGATAAATTTATCACTTAGAACCAAGAGTTAATTTGTAGAGTTTAAGGAGCAAAATGGCAGCTTTCTTCTCTTGATGCACTCCTGCCCCACCTGATGGGGAGGGAGCTGCCTGTAGCTGTGCCTGGCCAGCCCCACAGGCTCGGGGGTCCCAGCTACTAACAGCACATCAGCAGGCTCACAGCCAGACGATCCTTTTGCCAGTGACATTTCATAACGCTTCCCCCGCTCCTGAAGCTCTCCAAAGAAAGGAAGCACTAACTCCCTGTTAAAACATACAGTCCGAAGGACCCAAAACTGTCTAATGTTTGAACTCTTTGTGCACTGAAATAGAAGGAAATTAACCCCCTCCCAGATTTGCAAAAAAGAAAAGTAATTTATTTTTTTTTTACAGCTAGAAGCTGTATAATTTTATCTAGCTAGTGGTAAAATAAGAAAGGGAACAGGTATGAAACTCAATTAAAAATGTTTTCCTTTTTTCTTTGCCAGTATCATTAGATCAGCACCTGTATACCAAAGCAGACCTGAAATGCACATTTCTCAAGCTGAAAAAATTCTCAGTGCAAGCCTCCAGCCAGCTCAGACAAAACGCTAACAAGCACTGCACTGCAGCCTGAAGCAGCCAGTACTTCCAGAACAAGCTCCCTAATACTGCTTTTACAAAGCGTTTATCAGGAAGTTAAACACAGATCTAGAGTCCCAACTAGTTTCTCCACACTCAGGAGCTAAAAATTCAACAATACGGGATTTTAAATCCTCTGACACTCTGAGACTATTCAGAATTCCAACTTCTCTGAGGAGACAGACAGACCCTCCCCGCTTCCCAGCATCCCCATCTGATAAATAGACTGGGCAGCACTTGCACCGATGCTGTAACGAGAGATTTCCCCCGATTTTAAACCTGTTTCTACTCGCGAGCTATTTCATGCTACCTCAGAAATCCTGGAAATAATGGTAGCCTGTAGTCATACACCCAGAGCTCCAATAAAAGGTCACAGAAAGGGCTTCTCATTGCCATTTTCTAGCAATTCCCTGTCATTTAAATACGGAGGTTAAATTACTCCAGAAGCCTCCCTACAGGGCTTCCATTGTCTGTCAGTCAAGGCGAGGACACAGTGGTGCTCATTCACGGGCACGGCAAACAGCAGCTGAGGGCCAACGACCAGCAGACCGGCTCTTTTGGGTTCTTCTGCAAACAGTTTGTAGAAAGATGGCATTTCAAATGAACTACATCAATTTTTCAAAGCTTCAGTGCAGTCCTAGTGCTAACTGCTTAGTCGGGAGCCCAGACAAAAATTAAGACAACTTCAGAGCAACGTGAGGAATCGCCTGGAAAGCCACTCGCTCTCTGGGACTGCTCCTGAAAAAGATCTGCTCGCTACAACCACATGCAAAAAGACTACGTTTTAATAGTTAGAGAAATACATATTCAGAAGAGTTCAAAATTCTTTCCAAAGACCATCATACCATGCTTTAGTTTTTAGAGTACCACTTAGTGTTCAGCCTCAGAGCTTATGTTACTAAGGGGTACAGACACCAAGGATCCAAAGTGCACTTAAGGCTGTTGACTTCGTATCTTCTGGTTAAGAACCCAAGAGGTTTAGGTTTTTTGTTTTGCTCTGTTTTTTTTCAGCATGTTAGAAATAGAAAAACAAATGCAATATGACAGAAGTCCAGTGCTGCTGATAACTGGAGAGACACAAGCCTCACGCACCTCTTCATTGTTTTGCCTTTTCTACTTCAAAACTTGCTAGAGCAAAGACTTTGTCTCCTGATCCTGTGAGAGGAAAAAACATTTTCAGTAAGTATTAGCACAAATTGTGAATTTCCTATATACAATTCAAATCAAGCTTAACATCTGATATCAAAAGGAATCAAACCTACATTTTGGAAACTAGAACAGCTGATGTAATTTGGAAAAAAAAAATCCCACCAAAAAAAAACAAAAAAGCACCCCCAAAATCCAAGGAGACATACTGGCTTGACAGGTTGTATTGGGTCAGGCTGGGACCAAGTTAACTTTCCCCACAGCAGCTCTCACAGCTCTGCACTTTGTATTTATAGCTACAAGGGTGCGGGTAACACACCCGTGTTTTGGCCACTGCTGAGCAGCACGGAGGCTGTCTTGCCCTCAAAGACCAGTAGGCTTGGGTTGGGTGAGAGGTTGGGAGGGCACAGAGCCAGGAGAGCTGACCCCAACTGAGCAGAGGGATACTCCATCCCATACGGCACCAGGCTCAGCAGTAAAAGCTCAGAGAAAGGAGGAGATGGGGGATTTGTTATCAAGGCATTTGTCCTCCAAAGGAACTGCTACACATACTGAGGCCCTACTGCCCAGAAAATGCTTGGACATCACCTGCTGATGCAAAGTAGAGAACAAATCTGTTTGTTTCCCTTTGCTTCTGTGCACAGCCTTTGCTTTATTAAATTGCCTTTACCTATGCAATTTTATTTGCTCCCTGTCCTGCTGAGGAGAATGAGAGCAGCTTGGTGGGCATGGGGTGGCCAGCCAGGGTCAACCCACCACACACAGAGCAAGCTTCTAACAAAGTCTCCTTCTGAACACCTTGCTTACACCCCCGGGAAGAGGAGCATGGACAGGTAGGTCACAGAGACAGTTTATTTGTACCCTGACCTAGTCTGGCATGTTCCTGCCATTCATAGCTCTTTCATCACAGTTCTAGCTGTGATGCCAGAATGAACGGTTTTGCTTATTTAGTGCACATTACCACTGAACTTTTGGTCTTGTCAATGTGATTAGAGTTATGACAACCACGGCAAGAAGAGTGCTTTAAAGCTGTATTTTGACAATGTGCCAGTGACTGCTGAATTCTGTGCATCAAGCAGAGGAAAAGGCTCTCCTGAAGAGAGTCATTAATGCAAAAAAGATCTGTCAAGAGCAGTATGTCTGTTTGAGACAGATCATTCAATCCTTCAGCATTATGGGCAGTGCTTGGCATTTTATGAGCACTTGGCACTGGATTTATTTGCTGCGCTAATTTTTCCTGATGGAGAGGGTATCAGTTTCATTGCTAATAAAACACAAAAATGTATATCAGCATTTAATGATAGGAATCTTTCGTTTCTATTTTCTCTTTCATAGGGGAATTACAGGTATTTCTATTGATCAGTGTTCAATGAGGCAATGAAATTGGAAGTTATATGAATGACAACTTACCGAGGTCAGTGGAGACTCTCTCAAACTGGCTCAGGGCTGCACCAGCATTTGCTGAAAAGAACGTCTCCTCATCTGGAGTGAGCTACATAAAAAAAATAAAAGGCCACAGCTGTGAACTTCATACCTTCACCATCAATATTCCCACCATCTACACAGGCATATACATGAACTGCATCAGGTTACAGCAACTGTCAGTTTTTAACTGCCAGCGTTATTTACCATATTAAAAGCCAAACTGCAAGCTACCTCCCTGCCACTGAATTTTCTCTCAGCCCAGGAAAGGCAGCAGATGCAACATCAGACATGCCTCGACATGTGCCATAAAGTTTCAAGCCGACCTCCAGCGATCATTTTTGATGAAAAGGTCACACTCCACCCTTATATCAAAACTATGTAAAGGACATCAGTCACATTTTTGCCATGTAGTCAATACAATAATGAGCTAAGATCTAAGCTCACTTCATATCATCTACTGAGGAGAGCAAAAATATGCAGTTACCACCAGCTCTGACCACATTAAGAGTCAATGACCTAGAAATGGTTCTCATCCTTTAAAGTGACATTTGCACATGTATATTTCGCTTTTATGTGTGTGCTCCGAAGCCTTGTGACAGATGCCCATAAAATATTTACAATAATGAAGTAGTAACCTACATTTGGAAGATTCAGATATTCTAAATTAGAACTCACTCACTTAAGTAGCCTCAGATGTATACCATTATTAAAGCAAAGCGTAAGTATGTCAAAGTGTCCACAGTGTTTGCAACAGTTGATTAAAAATATAAAGATCAGGAACAAGGATTTGGAATTACGGAACGAAGGAAAAAGTACAGGTTACCTGCCTTTGCTGTGCTTTGTAAGCAAGTGTCTAATTACTTCATATTTTGCAGCACTGTGCTGACAAACATCTAACATGTACTATTCAGAACAGCTGCTCTCCTAGCAAGCCCTCTGTGAAGTACGTTATGGATCACTTGAAAAGATAAAGAGGTTAGGTCAGTGTGTGGTAAAGTGCCTTGTCTGAAGCAACCCAAGGAAGTTGTGCCAGGAGGATCAGATATCTTCATTCATTCAGTTTAAAATCTTAACTAGCCTTTTAATGTATTTCCAAAACACTTTTTTCATTGACAAACAATAAAAAAACTCTGAGGGACAGCATCTGTTAACATTATCTACTTGGAAGGAGCTCCTTTAAGTACTGCGCTTGATCTTTTCCATTACATTCCCCCATTTCCTAAGAAAGTTTAAGTACAGAGAAACATTTTCTTCAGATACCGTCAACAAAACAAAATAGCAGCTTCTCTTCCCCCCTCTAGTGGTAAAAACCCGAGATTGTTCTGCCACTGATGTTCTCACTGAGGCAACAATCAGGTTGTCACTCATCTCTAATTTATTTATCTCGCATCAAGAGTAGGTATTAAGACCAATAAAAAAGCAAGTAAAGCTCAAGGTATGTCGAAAGCGTAGCTCCTGCCGGGTGGACAGGTGGCAGTTAGCCACCAGAAGACTTGTTTTGTAGCATTTGTAAGTATCAACTAGTACCAGCTTGTATGTGATTCATTCAACAAAGAAGGAATTTTGAAGTAGAAACAGCCTTATATAAATGTACAATGCTATTTGATATATGCCCAGTAGCCAGTGCTTCAGAAAGCTCAGCATTAAAATAGAAGGACATTTACATACTACAAAAGCAAGCTGCATTTTCATTTGCTCATAAAGGTTGTAATTTCTTACTTTAATGATTTCAAATTCCTCTTCAATATACAGACAGAAATCTCTGCTCACCTAACGATCACACCAACACCTCACCTTCTCCCCAAGCTTTCTGAGGGCAGTCAGGATTTCCACCTTCTGCTGCGTGTAGAGGTCTCGTCCCAACTTCCCAACCATTAAGTCTCGGTCCATCTGTATACCGGGGGGAAAATAAGTCAAAATATATAAGCTTCTCATTAGATTCACTCAACACCAAGGCATAAGTACCCCAACAGCCTAAAATATCATCAGTAAACACAGTACCCACGAAAGTAAGAGTATAATAATTTAAAAGACGGCTCTGAAGTTTTTCTGAAGATTCTGGAAATAACTCTTTGCACCTAACCTCAGCATACTTGACCTCTCCAAGCTTGAATTTTTTTTTAAAAAGACTGCTACTCATTCAAAATTATGGATTCATACATCAATGATACATGGAGGAGTCACATGTCTTTTCACTTTATCCGAAACTCAAGTTTAGTCTAGATCTCAAACACTGAGTGCACTCTCCAGCCCCTCAATACAATCACAGATTCATACTCTTCAGATTTTCTATTTCCAGCTAAGACTCAGTTCAGTAGCTGTTAACCACATTTTTGTTTTGATGCAGCAGGACAGAAAATAATTCAGGAAATACACATTGCTGTCTCCATTGACTCAATAACATTTACAACCGACAAATTCTAAACCAGAACTTCTCTATTTCCTCATGATGCTGCCACCAAGTTTTCTAACACATGTGGTGGTCTCCTTGCAATCACTACGTATTTAAATCAGTCTAGCTCAAATAAACGTCTTTTTACAGTAAAACAGAAAACTTCACCTCTGCCAACCTCGTCCTCAATTGTCTTGGTTGCTTCTTTGCAAACATTCTAATGACTTCTGGAGTTTTAAATGCTTGGCTGATGGCTGCTTGTATTGCCTACAAGGAAAAGAGCAAGAACAACCAAAATTAATAGCAGCCACAAACTATAACAGCACCAAAAGATTAATGAAGGCTGGAAAGCGTCATTAGTGTCCTCTGCATCATTTGATACAGAGCTTTACTTTTGTTATTCTCTTGCAAAACAGCAGTGAGATGAAAAAAATATATATAACCTTTATACAACAGCTTGAAAAACCCACTGACCAAGGCAACTACACTGTGAAAGAGCTGTGCAACTTTTCATTACAGTCCAAGTCTTAATTTCGAATAGAATTATAGAATCATAGAATGGCCTAAGCTGGAAGGGACCTTAGAGATCATTTTATTCCAGCCTCCCTGCCACCAGGGATGCCACCTCTTGACTGGATCAGGCAAATAATTTCCAACATCTTCCTGATATGAGCACATCACAAGTGGATGTTCTAAGACTGCTACTCATTCAAAATTATGGCTATCTATAGCAGTTTTAATGCCCACACTGATGATTACAGCTCTCCTAAGGGTAAGCAGAAAGTAAATGATGAGGTAAATCTCCTACTGCTAGTCAAAACCCTCTACAGAGTATCGGAACTATTATGATTAAATCTCACCACAGTTATGTTTGAACAAACCATGATGCCTCTGGAAACAAAACCCTAAAACATAGGGCTTGGAAGGAACAAGGGATGCCCTGACTGTTGAAAAGAAAGAAAATGGATCACAAGTTTGAAAGTCAGCATAAAATAAGATCAATCCACTAAAAGAACTTAAAAGTTACAGTCACTTCTGCAGCCTTTTCATCTGGACTGGTATGAATCTGAAACACAAATAAACAGTAGCAGCAGAAGAAATGCTATTTTCATGCTTTTTAACAAAGACACATGCACTTTTTTCTCATAATATATCTTGTTCCAGATTGTCCTTCACACCTTTCATATTAATTTGTATTATTTTATGTTATTTTCTAACATTAAGGAGCTAACATATTTAGTCCCTGAAATTTGCCACAGTTTCTTCTACAGTGTTATGGTTATAACTCTTCAGCAGTTTTTCTTCCTTTTAAAATGAAGACTATTGACCAAGTTTTCACATGTACACATATATAATAAGAACACTAGATACACAGATCTAGGCCTGTCTAAAAATTAAAATGAACCACTTGTACTTATTTTCAGTTTCACTGAATCCAGCCAAAACGTGATCTACTTTTAGTTACGCATCTTCCTTACCAGTTGCATCCCACTGAGCTCGTCCACCAAAGTCATATCTCCAGACATAATCTTCTTCAGGGAGTCATTGATCTCACTCAGCTGTTCTAGAGTTTCTTTTTTGGTCTCTTCATACTCATCTGCATCAAGCTCCTCTCTAAAGAGGACCCAAGAAGACACATTAATTCATAGGATTAAACCTGAGATGTAACATGGAGAAAAGGACATCAGGGAGCATCACGAAGCACGCTTCCGCTGACAGCAACCAAAACACCCACATCATTTCAGATTATTCTGCCCTAGCACTCCTAGCTCTTATTTAGCTAATGCATACATGGTTTCCCTGGGTTTGCACCACCTCCCAGCCACCCATGCACCTGTGTCGCTTGTAAGAACTCACTTGGATTAAAACGGCCCCAACGACTACGAGAGTTACTCAACACTTGGTACAATATTTAAAAGAGTATCTTGGTTCTCAATAAACATCTGCAATGAGATTGTCTTGCTCAAAGTTACGGCAAACAAAATTATCTGAGAAGCCTATCTCCTCACCCAACCCATCGAGTTGTTCAGGAATAACTGATCCCTGCCCAGTTCAAAGAACAGCACTACCAACCTTCAGCAGTTATACTTGCTCTTGAAAAAAATAAGTACCGCTTGGACAAGTTGGAATAGCCAGAGAAAGCACCTAAAACCACACAGGATGTCTAAGTGCAGATACTGAAACAGAAATTCACTTTTCCCTTGATAACTCAGTCTGTCTCAAATTTTATTAGCCCACAAAAAAACTAACACAAAATCACATGAAACACATCACATGAAAATGTTGGACAGACTAATAAAATAACCGCAGAAACAAACATTTGTACTCGTAAGACAAGACAGATGCAAAAGCTATTTACTAACTGCTGTTAAAAAGCCCCTATGAAAAGCTGTGAATTCTGCTCACGGCTACTGAAAGTTGAAGTCATACTGGAATACAAAATTTCAAAGCAAATAGTAATGAGTATTTCTGCCCACAGTTTCCTCAAGAAGACGATAAATAATCTTAATGAAAAAAAGGCTTCTAAAATAATTTTTACCACCTAACACAAACTTCCTACCTAATTTAACAGACACAAAGCCACAGCAAAACACAAAATAAGCAAAGTCTTAAGTTTTTTGAAAGGTACTACATTCTTCTACCAAACATTGAAGAAAACTATTATCATATGTGAGGAAAGCATCTATTTTTATTACCTGCATTCCTCTAGATCTTGAAGCTGCTGCATTAATCTATCCAACTGCTCTTCCAAGTTTTGTTTTAGTTTACTGGTCTCTGTTGTTCCTCTTGAAGCCATTTTCTGTTTTCCTATGAAAATTTGAAGTTGTTACATGACACTCCTAGCAGAAAGCACATTTTATTGTTGTTATCAACAACTTGCTTTAAAACGTTCCAAGTGCCAAGAAAATTATGATGATGATGGAGTGTCTCACTGAA